TTCCCTTCACTCATCCTTCAAGAACTCACCAAGCATGAATCTGTGTCACCCTCTTTATCAAGGTTCACCAGTGGCCAAGTGATGGCACCGAACAGTGTAGACGAGCAGAGGCAACTGTCAGTGGTTGTGGCCCCAGGCTGCAGAGCCCTGGATGTGCAGCTTTATGGGCCCAAGATAAGTCCATCAGTGAGTCTCCCCCCTCCAAAAAAAAGAGGAAGGGGGCTCTCACTACAAGGGTATAGAGCTACCAGAGACCTGTCACAACAGCTGCAAATGCACAGTGAGATTTGGAAGCATCCCGGACCAGGGGGCAGAGGCTGGACCTCAGGGTACTAGCCAGAGATAAGAATGTGCTTAAAAAAAAAAAGAGCAAGTTGGGGCTGGAGAGATGATTCAGCAGTTAAAAGCACTGGCTGCTCTTGCAGAGGACAGAGGTTCGATTCCCAGGCCCCACATGGTGACTAGCAACCATCTGTGACTCCAGTTACAGGGGATCCGACGCCCTCTGCTGACCTCCTCGGGCATTGTACAACACAGGTGCCCCTACCGACATACAGTCAGTACATTCATACTCATAAAATAAAAACAGTAAATAAATATTTTTTTAAAAAAGAAAACTAGCAAGTCAAAGGACAGTGTGGGGCACACAGAGCCAGGTATAGACTGGGCTGGGCCAGGAATGGTAGGAAGAGGATGAGGAGGAAAATGGGGGCCATCTCAGGAAGAGTCACAGGACAGTTGCTATGGTTTCCAAAGCAGATCCTCTGCTAAAAGCTCCCATTGCTTCCTATCTCTTGACCCACCCAACCACTTTCTGAGACAGGTTCTATTGTGTGTCCTATCGACAACCATGCAAACCAAGGCACAGAGAGATGAAGTCATCTCTCTACCACCACACAGCTAGGACGCAGTGTATTGAGTTGACAGCCAGGCTGGCCTATGGGCCAGGAACTTAAGTAACCAGGTCCCAGATCACTTATGTACCCTTACGTCCTTTGCAAACGTGAACGAGGAGTCATCACGAATTTCCATCCTAACTTTCTCCCAGCTCCGAGTAACTTCAATAATGTTATAACAGCAAAAAGGGAGGAAAAAAAATTCAGTTGCAAGCTGGGAGTTAGATAACCACACTCTGCTTTCACACCTTTTTTTGACATTTGTGCAGCTTAATTAAGGAGGAGATTGGCTGCCACAGCGGGCTTCTTGTTCGTTCTACAGCAGCAGGGAGCCCAGGAGAAGGTCCTTAAAGAGCCCCAAAGTGGTCACAAGGGCTCAGAAAGGGATTCAAGACACCAGAATTGCTGCATACTTGGGAGGCAGGTAGACAGAGCCCCTATCACAGTCCCAGGGACAACCTGAGGTGGGGAGAAGACAGCAGGCACTGAGTCAGGCCTACCTGAGCCAAGAGCTATAAAGAATGTGAACAGTCACCCTGGACCACTCAGCATCAGCAAAGGACGCTCCTACATCTGTCCCTAAGTCACTCTTGGTTCTGAAAATTGCACGTTCCTAGAACCAGCATCACTTAACATAGAGATTGGGAAGGCCTGCAGGTACTTCTAGAAAACCCTTCCTTCTCATGTGGACCTGCCCGGTCTCCCTTTCTCCACGAACAGGGATCAGACTTGTTGCTACAGAGTCTGAATTCTCCCAGGCTGCCATGTCCACTGTGAGGCTTGAACAGACATTCACTGTCTCTCACAGTTCTGGAGGCTGGCAGTCCAAGGTCAAGGTGTCAGCAGGGCCCAGACCTTCAGCGGCCTTCCGTTTTGGTTTGTTGATGACATGTCTCCCCGTGTATCCCTCACATCATCTCCCTCAGTGTGAGTCTATGTCCTGGTTTCCTGTTCTTATAAGGATATCAGGCCTATTGGATTAGGGCCACCCCAATGGTGACCTCATTTGCCTAATTCACGTGTGTGTGTGTGTATGTGTGAGCATACATGTGCACATGTGTGCATACATGTAGAGGACAACTCTGGATATTGTTACACACATGCCATCTACCTTGGATTTTTAGTGTTTGTTTGCTTCCTTCATGTTTGTTTGAGACGGGGTTTGTTCTAGACCCAGCTGGCCTCAAACTCACAAAGATCCACCTGTCTCTGTCTCCAGATTGCTGAGATTAAAGTCATGTACCACCCCACCCAGCCCTCCTCCACTTTGTTTTCTGAGACAGGTGCTGTTACTAGCCTGGAGCTCATCCAGTACACTAGGCTGGCTGGCCCATGAGCTCTGGGATCGCCTGTCTCTACCTCCCCATCTCTGGGATTACAAGTGCACACCCCCATGCCTGGCCTTTTACCTGGCTGCTGGGGCTCAAGCTCATAGTTTCTTGCCTGCACAGTGAACACTTACTCACTGAGCCATCTCTCTAGACCCCTAACTCATTCATCATGAGCCCAGTTCACATACAGTCTCATCTGAGTATATGGGGTGAGGGCTGCAATGGGGGAGGGGTGTTAAAGTGGGGCATGGGTCAGTCTGGCACCAGGAAGCCAGACAGCAGCCCCTTCAGCATAGATTTCTTTACTTCCAGCTCCCTGGAGTCAGCTGACACTGACCCACACAACTTTGACCCAGAAGTTGCTAAGGAGAGTGAGCGAGGATCCTGCCAGACTCTGCAGTGACAAAGCTCAGGCCGACCTGAGCCAAGAGCTGTAGAGAATCTGAACAGTCACCCTGGACCCCTCATTCGCTGCCTCTGCCCTCCAGAAGTTACAGCACACCACCGACTGAGCTGTGTGACCTTATTTATGTTCACAAAACATTTGTGACATCCTTGATAACATCTAATTCTTCCAGTGCCCCTCGAGGAAAGTTCTAGAATTTTCCTTGCTTTTTTAGTTGCAGAGGCTAAAGCCCAAAGGCCAAGTCATGGCTCCAAACTGCAGGGAGCATGGGTTACAGCTGAGTTCCAGGGCTCTTGTCTCAAGTTCAGAGCATCCTGTCTAGCATGTTCTTTCCGAAGCTGAAAATCTCTGTCCTCTGGTCAACAAGGCCTTGCGGAACTCCTGACTTGTGTAGGGCTTCTGTGGAGTTTGCAGAAAGCAAAAGGTAGCAGGATACAGGGGTTGGGGTGGGGAGACAGCCAGAAGAACAGCAGGCTGTAAAAACAGGTGAAGTGATGGACAGACAGTAAGGAAAGACAATGATGTCAGATAACTTGGCCTGAGATAGGCCATCCAAGGATGTGTCATGTAAGTGAAGACCAACAGGAGGAAAAAGGGCTGTGCAGGGCTCTGGGGTATCTTGGTATAAGCCAGTGAAGTACGGGAGGAAGGTCGTAGGGGCCAATTCATACATACACGACCTTGCAAGATTTTATTCTAAACATTATAGAAAGAGGGGCTGGGGAAATGGCTCCATCAGTAAAGGGCATGGTGCATAAACACAAAGACTCAAGTCTGATCCCAGCACCCATGCAAAAAGCTGGGCATGGTGCCGTGTGCATATTATCCCAGCGCTGGGGAGTCAGAGAGAGGAGGACCCCTGGGGCTCTCTGGCCAGCTAGTCCAGCTTACTTGAAACCCCAAGTCCCAGTGAGAGACCCTGTTTCAACAGACAAGATGGTTGGCCCCGAGGAGTGACACCTGAGGTTGACCTTATGCATCCACACACACATAATATATAATAATATTATATAATACTATAGTGTATAATTGTCTCTATTATAAAATTGTTATTTTGTCATCTTTTTCAGAGCTGAGGACCGAACCCAGGGCCTTGTGCTTGTTAGGCAAGCGTTCTACCACTGAGCTAAATCCCCAACCCTTCTATTATAAAACTGTATATAACATAATAATACAATAATCTGTAACAATAATTAATATATATACTTAAAAAAACAACTTGTACCCAAAGGAAAAAAGCAAAAATTATCTGGTAATTTCACAATTTTCTGTGACATTCCCTATAGCCATTATAAGAAAGTGCAGTGGAGGCTGGTGGTTCTTGGGTTAAATTATAGTTAAACTCGGATTTTGTGAGCCCACAAAATAAAGGTAACCAACTTCCCCCTGTGAGAGGAAGCTGTTGAAAACCCAAGAGCGTCTAGTGATTTTTTTTCAGATCAGACAAAGGACACCAGACCTTCAAGCCACATCCACAGGGGACCCATGGTGACCACTGTTTCCCTCTACCCTCTGGGAAGCAGATGGACTTGTAAACTACAGTAGGGCAGCCCATTCCCTGTAGGCCTGTATGAGACTGTTTAGAGTGGAGCTACAGACAGCACAGAAGTACGGCAGGAGTCTGGGTGTCCTTCCAGAAGTATCCATGGGAGGGGGTGAAGGAAGGTAGCCTCTAGACTGGTCACACCTGCTCCATCAACAGAGATGCAGCATCTAAACCAGCAGGACAAGTTTCCTCTGTCCTATTTGGTAAGCGGCCGTGTTTTTAAAATGCTGAAGAGTTTCACTATCTCTCCACCACCCCCAGAACCAAGGGCTCCCCAGGGACAAGGAGAGCCAAGTCTTGCCTTTGTGAGAGGAAACAGGGTGACGAATTGGGGTGAGAGTGTTGAAACATCAGTAATCAGATGTGTGGATAACTCAACAGAACAGGACTTACAGCATTGATTTAGTCTCATGACAGTCACCACCTGCAGCCCAGATTCCTTCTTTAAAGAATCAAGGGGCTGAAGACACAGCTCCATGGTTAAAAGCACTGGCTGTTCTTGCAGAGGACTCAGGTTCCATTCCCAGCACCCACATGGCAGCTAACAACCGTCTATAACTCCAATTCCAGGGGATTCAACACCCTCTTCTGACCTCCACAGGCATTGCATGGCACGGGTGCATTTGCACACGTGCAGGCATTACACTCATACACATAAAATAAAAATAATAAAATTTTTTTTTTTAAAAAAGCAATAGCTAACACTACAAAATGGACAATTTTAACAGCTCAAAGTGACAGAACCCTTCAAGGCACCAAAATCCCACACTCACAGAGCACCAAGGTCTACAAAGCCCAGAGTCTTAAAGCAGTAACCTCACCAGGACTGGATCAATCGGCGTGTGCTCGGCATTCAGAGTCCTGTGCCCAGAGGGGCCCCAGAGAATATCAGCAAGCAAGCTCCCACACATCACTGACTTGGGGTCCAGCCCCAGCCTCTTAGTGGTGAAGGCTGAGGTGCAGGCTTCGGCCACTGTGTGCTCCGGTGGACTTTGTCCTGCCCAGGATCCTGGCTAGAAATCAGCTATCACATGTGTCATCACCTCCTGACTATTTAAAACCCTGCCTGTGTGTTTAGAAGTGCAAGAAACCGTTAAATGTTTCCTATTGTTCTGTTGGAGATGACCGACTCAATTCAATCAAAATTAGTGGCAAGAAAGCAATTTCCCCGTCCATTCGGCACCGAGGGCTTTGTGTTGGGCTTTGTTTTAAAGGAGGTGATTCTCCATTCTCTCCTTAGGGTGAACTGAGGAGCCCCACAGCCCCATGTCTCCCTTTGTCTAGATAAGTGTTACCCAGTAAAGCGAACACCTTAATGCTGCTTAAGAATCACATCGCAATACGAGATCGATAATTCTCCACAACAATTTACCAAGGACCCGGCTGGGAAAGAGAAATTCAAATTGCATCGATTTTGCCCCCTGTGCCTGTGACAATACTAGTCCATAAACGAGCGCATCAGCAGCAGGGCACATGAGCAGGGAGTGGAAAGTGCCAGGTGGAAGGAGCCAGGGGAGGAAACTGGCCACTGGGGTGTTTTCCAAGTACCCTGGGAGTTGGAAAAAATTTCACAAAGACAAAGGAGATTTTCCCACACACAGCCGCTCTGCCCTGGTCACAGCCAAGGAGGATATAGAACTAAAAGGCCTCTGTGGTGTGGGGAGACAGGGAGACCCACAGCCATGCAGCTCCTGGGCTCCTTTGCTTGGAGCAAGAGTGTTGGGTTTTCAAAGGCAGAAGCCAGCTGCTCACTCACTTTGGACCTGGCACACAGTAGGTGCTCAGAAAAAACTGTCAGGTGGATAACAAGACTGAGCCAAAACAGGGAGGGGAGAAAAGAAGGTAGACAGGAAAGAGGACAAGACAGAACATCAAATCACTGCACGCTGAACTGAGCCCCTGTCTGCTAATGACCTTGGCCGGCTGTCCCACTCTAGCCGCACCAGGGCCGGAGGAAATAAAACAATCGCATAGTCACTTCCTGACATGTGGTAGATGCTCCAAGCCATGACAGGACACAACTGGGACTGGAGAGTTGCTCCCCTGGCCACAAACATCCCAACGGACCATCCTGTGAAGGAAGGTGTCTTTGGCCAGCGAACGTCCCCGTAGCACCCAACTCTGCAGCTGCGGCCCTCTGAGCTAGAGATGGGAGCCTCACCTTCCTTTCCCTCACAGCCCTGTGTTCCTGCCACTTTGAAATACGCTTTGGAAGAAGAAATAGGGAAAAAAAATTTAAGGCAGTAGAGGAGGGGGAAGAAAAGAAACAGAGCGAAAGTGGAGAAATTATTGGAACCGGAGAGGGGTTTTAATGACAGCGTCGGCATCCTGCAATTTCACACATTAAAACATATTTTTAAAGAGACGACTATGGTGCTGATTGTATAAGGACGAAGCTTCCCACTCTTCAGACTATTAATAAGGGCTTCCCATAGAGAAGACAAATACATGCTTGATGCATTTTTAATCCTTTGCCAATACATTTGACTAAAGCTGTTTGCTGTTCCGATGACAGGATTTAACTTACCCTTCTGTAGCCAACGTTCCTGATTATTAATGACATTTAGGAAACTCAAGCTATAAAGTTACATTGCGGGGCAATTGTAGCCTGTCTGTCCTTCACACCCGGCAGAAAGGAACATATATCTGCATTGGGGGGTGGGGGGAGACCCCTCTTCCCAAGAATCTCCATACTATGCTCCAGGACTAAGAGGGCACCCCTGCAAGCCCAGGGCTGTGCTGCCCCGATGCCTCCCCACCCTCTCTGTGCAGGATCCTGGTCCCACTGTTCCCTTGCTTTTGGCTCTGCTGTAATCTTGACCACCATTTCCGTGAGAAACACTCCGCACCAGGGTGTGATAGGGTCTTGGCAATATTAAACCAAATTCACCAAGGGTATTTAGATTTCTCAGGATCCCCCACATCCAAATGCCAATAATAAAATCTTCCAGGAAGAAGACGCGGCAGGGAACGTGGATGGCTTTGAAACAGGGATCAAGGGATCAAGAGGCAGCTCTTGGATCTTAATAGGATACCAGCGGAGGGAAAAATCTGTACTGGGGCACGGCTGATTATTTTGTGCTTTTTTATTATTTTAAGAAACAAATTAATGCCTAGGTTAAAATGAAATTACATATGCGGATACCCTCCAGGCTGTCTTTATTCAGCCGGGTTCTGGAATGTTAATAAGAGCTGTAACCAGTGAGCAAAAGGACAGTGGGTGGGAACCCAGGCAGGTAGAAATGCTGGGAAGGTCGGGGGAGAGGGAATGCTTGGCTCTGGCTTCAGTGACTGATCTGGGGCCACAAGAACCTGACATACAGGTGGCAGCCCAAAAGAAAAGGTAAGAGACTTGGACTCACAATCTCCAAACTGGACCCCCTTATTCCATCAAGGAAGACTCATTCACACAAAAGCCTCTCGGCCTCGCAGTATTACACGCTTAGCCCTGACCCCCTATTATAATGAAAAGCCGGTCCCTCTATGCATCTCAGAAAATCAATATTGCATTTTACTAAGTTTGCGTTAATTTTACACCTTTCAGCCTCCGGGTGGGAATTATTGCTGCAAAGAAGAAGCATTCTCCCTGCTTCCCAGGCATCGGCGGCTGTCTGGCCATCAGGTTGGGAAAACCCTATCACTAGTTTTAAGGGGGGGAGGGGAGATGATGATGAAAAGAAGAAAGAGGGGGTACTGAGGGGGGCTACAGTTTGAGAGATTTTAATAGCTAATACAAGGATAGAACATAAAAACGTGGATCCAATTTGAGCAAAAGAGTCCCCATGTAAGCATTGCTTGTCAGTCTTGGGGTGTAGTGTATAGGGGCCGGCTCCTGAGCATGGCAGTCCAGAAATATAAAGTCCAGATTTAATTCCGATACAGAGAAATACAATTTCAAAACCGGACGTCTTATCGCTGGCATGTCCTACTGGAGAACTCATTTCCCTAGCAAAAGGCTGTCCATGCCATTATGTCCGACACAGAAGCAATTTACCACGTCAGAGACATAATTAAATGAGTTTTCATTCTTGGATTCCTTAAATATACTTATGGAATCTAAGGAAATGATATAATTTTTCATTTCCATAGCGAAATAGAAATAAAGAAAACACTACAAAGAATCACTGAATCTAAGAGCTGGTTCTTTGAAAAGGTAAACAAGATTGACAGACCGCTAGCCCAGTGAACCAAAATAGCATTTCAAATGTCAGTGAAATGGGAGGAATAATTGAAAAGTATCAATCAGAAAAGCGAAGGGTTCCCAAGGCCGGCCACAGCCCCCGGCCCAGTGCAGCACCTTTGCTTTGCTTTCCTGCCCCTTCTCCTCCCTGCTCGCCTTACAGGCCACCCGCTCCCCGTGGCCTCCCCCTAACCCTACCCCACTCACTGTGCAAGTTCAAATTCAGTCCCAGAAAAGAAAGGAGGTCTGCTTGGTCCCTGCTTTGTTTCAGAGGTAAAGGATGGGGAGGGGGGTGGTCTCCACGCCACCAACAGCTGAGGATGCTCACTCCCCCTAGGACCTTGAATCCCCAATAGACCCGGGATAAGTGTGCAGTCTGATTCCTCTAAAGGTTCTGGGAAGCCACATATTTTCATAAGTCGTCGAGATGGTGACACCAGGCCCCGATCCTCTGTATGATGACAGACAGCTTTTCCACAAAACTTGGGGTACAAAGGGCGCAGAATTGCCTTTCCATCATGGACCCTCTGCTGATGAGTACCAACCCACCAGACACAGAAATCTTCCTCTTGTGCGTGTGGAAGAAACATAAGAGGAGGGTTTATTATTATTTTTGTTCTGTTATTATTTCTCTCCTCTGGAAAAGGAGCAATGACAGAGCAAAGAAACAGTTTCATCCAAGTCCAGCTAGGTGAACTGGTCAGTTTATTAGGGATTTTTACAGGAGCACAGGTGACTCCTGCAAAAGCCCAGGCCATCATGGGTGACAACTCACAAAAGCTGCATCCTTAGAGCGCCCTGTGCAACACACAGGCAGCTCCACCAAAGAGTGCCCTCTTCCCCAAAGTTGTGTCCCACTTTGTAATCTTGGAGGTGGGCCTTGTGGTGGTTTGAATGAGAATGTCCCCCATAAGCTCCAAGTATTTGGACGTTTTGATCCCAGTTGATGGTGCTGTTTCAGGAAGTTTCAGGAGGTGCAGCCTTGCTGGAAGAAAACCATCACTGGGGGGCAGGTGCTAAGAGTTTTTAAGCCCTGCCAGATTTCCAGTCTCTCTGCTTCCTGTGCCTGCTTGAAGATGTGATCACTCTCACTTTCTGCTCTGGCTGCCTTTGCTGCTGTGCCTCCCACCATTATGGACCCTTACCCATGGAACCATAAGTTCAAATGAATTCTTCCCTCTGTAAGTTGCCTTGGTCATTATCTCTTATCACAGCAACAAGAAATAGCTAAATCAGGCTTTGTGAGTTTCTTGGGGGTTTCATAAGCCTCATGTCCCTCCAGGAGGGAACATTTCGATTGATGGAAACTCTCAGTATCCTTTCCCAATAAAAAGAGAAGAATTGCATCCAAGGATAAGACAGACCACTGTGACTTCACTGGAGCCCCCACACCCCGCTCCTGGCCGGAGGCACCTCACAACAGCACTACAGCCACTCTTCTCTCCCTCTGAAAGTTCCCAGATGGCATTGCACCTCTGGGCACTCACTGCCAACACTCTCTCCCTACCCAGCTTCACTGGCTCCATTCTCTGTGGATGCTCTCCCCAAGGGTCTACACACAGCCCGCTGCTTCTCATCCATTCCCAACTCAAGTATCAACACACCAACCTGCTTAGAGTTACAGCAACTGCTCCCTAATCACTTTATCTTCATCACAGCGTTTCTCTCTGAAACTATCGTCTGCTTTCTCCACTGCAAAGCTAGCCCCATGAAAGCAGGGTCTTGGTCTTGCTCCCCATTCCGTCTTTTCTTCTTAGATTGGGGATCAGATACAAAGTAGGTGCAGTGGTCCCCCTTT